CGAGCCCGGCGGTCGTCATACCTCTGGCAGCCAGCACGCGTTACCAACACTGGCGACTCGCAGCTGCCGACCCGCCAGCCAAGTCAGTACATACACAACCTCCAACGAGAGAGGTCACACGCAAGCACAGTGCAATCCTCTTGAGTGCAATCGAAAACCCAATTCCTGGATTACTCTACAGTGTTATAGTTTATTCCTTCTTGTTGTTGTGTGTGGGATTTCTAGTCAACTACAGGGATTCTATTATATTTTTCTCCGCGATATATCATGTGTAAAAGTAAGTGATGTGTTTATATTCGTTTGTATTTCCTAATATTTACTTAAAATGGTATTATGATATATTTCTACTTCATTAACATCGAACTTAATCAATTCATTCATTGCCACAGAAGAGAAACAAGAAATTAACCCAAATTAGTCATAAAACTTAACAAAACCCATTTTTATTAATCATAAATCTTTTAAATCTCACTCTCTACTTTAAGATAATATGTTCATGACACACAGACTGCCAAGTCGAGTGTGATTCATTTCCTAACAGTGACAAAATGTTATCAATGAGTAATGCCTGAGATTTTTGCTCTCAGTGAGACCAGAGAGGTCTGCTTCACTGAATCTAAGATGTGGTTTTGGTGTGATGTGAGTAACTTTGTGTGTATTTGTGTGAGTGTGCTTGGTGTGTGTGCGTGTGTGTGTGTGAGTGTGCTTGGTGAGAGAGAGAGAGAGAGAGAATGGAATAAAAGAGAAGAGACAGAAAGATAGACCGACAGAATGAGAGAATGATGACTTCATGGCGACTTGAGTAAGAGTGAGTTGAATGAGTTTGAATGAATGAATCCGCGTCTCCAAACGCATCCCCTCAAAAAAAATAAACGTTAAACGGAAAAAAAAACGGAAAACCGAAGCAGGTCTCAGGGGCGAGATATGCGTGGAATATTTCTCCTGCAAGTTGATGGCTAGTTGATGCTGTTCGAGGATAGAGTGTGACTCGACGCCAACATAGAGAGAGATGATGTCACGCCATGTTGCCAAGTCTCCCGAGAGTGTCACACGAGCGGGACCCCCACTTTACACGCGAGAAACAGCGGCAGCGTCGGCCGTCGCAGATCCTCCGAGTATGCACCAAATTCGCCAAAGATTTCATGTGCTAAAATTGCTAAAGAAACCGTTTGTCATGTTGTTCATTCGCTTATTTATTTCGCGATCGTGTGTGTATTTAAAGTTCTCAGGATCTCGAGTTGGAAGAGGTGCATGAAAGGAATGAGGTAGATATAAAATTGGAGTAAAAACGGTAAAGGAAAATAGAAAAAAAATAACGATGAAGCTAGATGTAAGAGGGGTGTCTCTAAAGCTTTTATTTCTTGGTCTCTAAACTGCTTTCAATTGGATATCTCTCTCTCTCTCTCTCTCTCTCTCTCTCTCTCTCTCTCTCTCTCTCTCTCTCTCTCTCTCTCTCTCTCTCTCTCTCTCTCTCTCTCTCTCTCTTTCTCTTCTCTCTCTGTCTTCTCTCCGTCTTTCTCTCTACCCCTATTTTTGCCTCTTTCTATCTTCCGTCTTCTCTCTCCCCTCTTTCCCCCTTTCCTCTTTCTCTCCTCCCCTCTTTCCCCCTTTCTCTCCTCCCCTCTTTCTCTCTTTCCCTCTTTCTCTCTTTCTCTCTTTCTCTCCATGGCGCGTCGGAGCGAGCGAGAGCGAAGGGATCGCGCAGACTGTAATGGGAAAATGGACTCGTGCAAACCGCCACAAGTAAATAAGGATGCGCAGAGATGAGGGAATGTGTGACACTGCGCTCTCTCTCTCTCTCTCTCTCTCTCTCTCTCTCTCTCTCTCTCTCTCTCTCTCTCTCTCTCTCTCTCTCTCTCTCTCTCTCTCTCTCTCTCTCTCTCTCTCTCTTCCTTTCTCCTTCTCTTCCTGTCCCGACATACCACATGTATATTATTATATTCATCATCATATATCATCATTATTTTTTTATTGTCAATATTATCATCATTTTTTTATTATTATTATTCGCGTCCTTAGCACTCTCTCTCTCACACGTCACGCGATGAGAATTCGGTGACGTCTCAACTACGAAGATTTTCCCGACGGTGACTGTGCGGGCGGGGGCGGCGGAGGGGAAGGTTGTGGGTGGCCAGTGGACGTGCCGAGGAATTTCGGGGTTTTGGTTGTTAGTTTGGGGTTGTTAGTGTTGTTGGTGGTGTTGTTGGAGTTTTTGGTTGTTAGGTTGGGGTTGTTTAGTGTTGTTATTGGGGTGTTGGAGTTTTTGGTTTTAGTTTGGGGTTGTTAGTGTTGTTATTGGTGGTGTTGGAGTTATTGTTGTTATTGTTATTATTATTATTATCATTATTATTAGTCTGGGGTTGTTAGTGTTGGTGTTGGAATTATTGTTGTTATTGTTATTATTATTATTATCATTATTATTAGTTGTAGTAGTAGTAGTATTGTTGTTATTGTTGTTATCTTGAGGTGAAAAGGTTGATTCAATGCCGAGAAGTAAACAACCGAAGATTATAATTAAATATAGGCTATAACGAACGTATCTCGTATAAAGTGCTTTCGTTATATCAGGAGAAATAGTAAACGAGAGAGAGAGAGACAGACAGACAGACACAGATCAGAGAGAAATCGTTGCCCGTTCAGAGACATCACTTTACGGCCTAATAGGAGGACAGGGTAAACAAAGTAGCAGGGAGGTCGCTGATCACAATTGCAGGTGCGAGGGAGGGAGGGAGGGAGGGGGAAAGGGGAAGAGATAGGAGGGAGGGGGGAGGAGAGAGTGAAGAGATAGGAGGGAGGGAAGGAGAAGGAGGGAAGAGAGAGAGAAGAGGTGAGGGAGGTGAGGAGAGAGATGGTGAGGAGGGAGGGGGAGAAGGGAGAGAGAGAGAGGGAGAGAGAAGGAGAGAGAGAGAGATAGAAGGTGAGGGAGGGAGGGGAGAAGGGGAGGGGTGTATATATTGAAGATTTGTGTGTTTGAGGACAGACACACACCACACACCACATACACATACACACACACACACACACACACACACACACACACACACGCACAAACAAAAAAAAAAAAAAAAAAACAATAGAAAAAAACATAAACAGGCATCGGTTGGTCGCGCAAGTGTTAGTGTAGCGACTCAACTGCACACACAAACAAGCGAGTCATTGCATTGAGCCAAACAAACCGACAAACCGTAAGAAAATGAGTCACACTCGGCCATTGCACAGAAGCGCGAGTGTGAGAAGGTGACGGAAATGGGGTTGTGATTGCAAAGAGGGGATTTGCGCGGTTTTTGCAAAGGGGATTTGTGTTTTTTTGCGAAGTAGTTCTAAGGGGGATTGCGAAGTCGGATATGTGCGGTTATTTGCAGAGTAGGTCTAAGGGTGATTGCAGAAGGGGATCTCCGGTCATTGCAATGTAGTTGAAAGTGTGATTGCAAAGGGGGGATTTGTGCGCTTATTGCAAACTTGATCTCTTGTTTTTGCAAAGTAGTTCTAAGGGTGATTGCAAAAGATAACCGCAGTGATTGCATTTAAAAAGGTTCTTAGTGAGAATCGAAAAAAAAAAAAGTGATACGATGATTGCAATAAAGGAGAGAATGGCAAACGTAGTATCGAGAAGGAGGGAGGAGAGGAGGGAGAGAGAGAGAGAGAGGAGGAGAGGAGAGAGAGAGGGGAGGGGGGAGGGGGGGGAGAGTGATTGCAAGCTGTGTCTGGTTGCAAGATGAATCACTGCCTGAGTAGCAACGGAAGGACAGAACGCGTGGCGGTTTTCGTCGCTTTCTCTCTGTCTCTCTTCTCTTTCTTTCTTTCTTTCTTTCTTTCTTTCTTTCTCTCTTCTCTTTCTTTTTTCTTTGTTTCTTTCTCTCTCTCTCTCTCTCTTCTCTCTCTCTCTCTCTCTCTCTCTCTCTCTCTCTCTCTCTCTCTCTCTCTCTCTCTCTCTCTCTCTCTCTCTCTCTCTCTCTCTCTCTCTCTGGTAGGCCTATGCGATTTGTGTTTTTTTATAGATATTTTTATTCGATGCGATGGTCGGCGTTCAATTAATTATTTATTGCTATATTTTTTTAATTGCGATTGTGCATATTTCTGATAATGATGTTTATATATCCATTAATGCGGTATAATTGAAAATTTGAATATTCCAGTCAGCGAAAGTATCAGATTTATATCACAACAATTTTTTTTTATGTATTTATCTATTTATTTTAACGGAATTGTCACCTTTTAAGATCTAGGCCTACCTCCCCCCCCTCTCTCTCTTTAGCGCCGTCGGCCTCGCCTCCGATGTGAAACAAGAGACTATTTAGAGACTATTTATCGCTTTTGCAATAATGGGTCCCAGTTGCATGCGCTGTTAGTGTTTATGATTGCTTGTGATGCGGTTAAGCGCTTTAGCTCCGCCCACTACATTTATATATGATCCTTGCGTTGCGTTTGTGACGTCACGCGGGGAGGGGCGGAGCTTAAGGACGAAAAAGAGGTGGAAATCTGAAATGGAAAAAAAGAAAAGGTGGAGGTTGGGGAGAATTGGCGGAAAAGGGGAGGGATTGGAGGTAGGAAGAGCGGAGTGTGGTAACAAGAGAAGGGAGCCTTAGGATAAAGATGATAAATATATATATACGAGAGGATACAAAGAAGAAAGAAAGAAAACAGTCACGGCATAAGTAAGAGGAATAAATAACAAAACGTAGGAGTGGAATGGTAATCGATCTGTTACGGCTGACAGAAATAGTTTTACAAGATCTCTGTCCTTTATATATATCAAACAAACCGACAAACACATCAAATAAAAGTCAGATATGCAAATTAGCCGATAGGTTGTAAGCGCGAAACCTTCAGATATACTTAGAAATAAATGAATAAAATAGATAAATAAATAAAAAGACATGAGACGGACAGTCGCTCTCTCGGAATTTAAATTTCGCGCCGGCGGGAGAGGGAGGGGGGAGGGGGGGGGAGGGGAGAGGAGGAGGGTGATATGAATAAGGATAGGAGATGGAAGAGAAGGA